ATGTGCCAGTAATGTATTCAAGCAGCACATTCATTTATAATTTTGAATAAACTCCAAAGCACAATGACTAAGTGTGTATTTTTTTACTTGAATTGTTTGTCAGCTCGCACATCTGTCTGTCACCATGCCTTGATGAGTATTGATAATTAATAATGTTATTATAATACTCCCAATCAACGACTGCGGAGGGTAAAGGTACTGTTATTTCACCCTTTTGAATTTCGTTGAGGTTGTGTTCCCACATCGTTAGCTAGTTTGGATCGCTATAACTTGAATGACTGTCAACTGTTGAATGAACGAGTGTTAAGCATGTCAAGTCGCGCTTTGTTTACTTCCAACCGGAAGTCGCGCCCACTTTTGACGCAAGGCCTCATGGGGCGTAGGAAACTTGTGGATATGTGGGTAGGAATCAAGATGCAGGTGCGTGAGTAATCAGTCCAGGAGTGATAAATGAGAAAATCAATACTTGGGTGTTGTCGCCCTCTGGTGGCCAGAGAGGGATGTCATGGAATCTGAGATCATGACAACCATATTCTACATCCCTAATCCTTATTACCTAAACGTAACACTACAAAACTACCATACTAACTATTAATTAGCAGTAAATTAGGAATTTATTGAGGCAAAAATCATAGATAATAATGAATATGTGTTCACCAAAGTCCACTGTTGCTGCAGGATTCTGGATCAGATGCAGAGTTTTTACAATGCGCTTTATTGCAGTGCATGTAAAACCACCTTAAAAAATTAGCTTTTTGTGTTTTGTCGAAAATAATTTTGGAACATCATCAAGGTGTCAAGGATTTTCATTTTTGGACAAGATATTCTTTTAAAGTGAAATAAATGTATTGTTTATTATAAATTGTAATTTATAAAACAATGTGATTGGTTGGTATTTTACAAAGAAAATGTCAAAAGAGGGCTTTAATGAGAGAGTATAATAATTCATACACTATAACTATATATAACTATCACCTGTTTGGCCATTCTGCTCAGCTCTACAGCAATATCTCCTCCAGAGTTCCCAATGCCAATCACAACTACCCTCTTCCCTCGCCAATCTTCGGGGTTTTTGTAGTCGCGGCTGTGGAAGAATTTCCCCTTAAACGTGTCTATTCCTGTAATGCAATACATAGCTTATCTACATAATTCCTTAAGTCTGCCATTTCATATACATTTTGTAAATATGTAAACATTCAAATTAACAAATTAGTAAAATCATTAACTTATTGAATAATTTTAAAAGCTTGTTGAATCATTCTTTGCAAAACTTTGTAAGCATACTAATTATAAATAATATTTCTGCCTGAGATTCTGCTTAATGCTACAACAGTTGTACAAGAGCTGTGAGAAGGCATAATAACTCTTGTACAACTAAAGTTCACTATGAGTATCCCAGTTTGGCTTTTATTGACTTTATGTTGTTGCACTTTGCACATAGACTGTGTTTGCTTAATCATCACATGTACTGCACCTGGAAAGTCTTTTAGAGGGAGGTGAGGGTGACAGTGGTGACCGGTGCAGACCATCACAGCATCAAACACCTGTTTCTCTCTCCGACCATCCTTGGACTCCGTCTCTACATCCCACTGACCAGAGTGAGGGAAGTCTGGCCTTGGGGTCACATGAAGGACTTTTGTCTAAGAAACACAAAACATGAATTTGTAAACCATTAGAAAACACCCAAAACCAAAGATATATATGAGGTACAGTATATTCCTAACTTCGTAGTTCATATAAGCTTTCAGGCCAGACCTGGAAACGGATGTGCTGTTTGAGCTGGAAGTGTTCAGCGTACATTCGGAAGTAGTCCATGATGAGGGAGTTGTGCATGTAGTTTGGGAAGTGGGCAGGGATGGGGAAATCACTGTAGCACATCATCTCCTTTGAAGTGTTGATAATCAATGAGTAGTAAATACTAGCAAGGTCTGGATCTGGATTTTCCTAAGATACAAAGACAAGAAGCAAACTGCATCAGTTTCTCGCAGCATCGTGTTTATTGATGGTCTGCATGCAATGAACTGTGCCTCAGGGTTCAGTGCTTGGACACCTTCTTTTCTTCATATACAATTTCAGTGGGCCCAATCATATAGACATTTCTCACCTTAAACCTCCAAAGACCTCCAATGTCATCACTGGTCTCAAAACACACTGGCTCCAGGCCTTCATCCAGGCAGCATTTGATGCAGGTCAACCCAGAGGTTCCTCCTCCAATCACAGCAACACGTTTGGCCATGATGATCCACAACTGTCAGACTTCATGCAGATGATAGAAAAAAAATATGAGATTTGATATTTAAACTGGTTTCTATATGTCAGACTCAGACATCTCAATTGTGTTGAGAGAAGATTCTGGTATGATTTTAGCTCCTAGAGACAATGGAAAATTGTAAAAATTCAGCAGTTTATATGTCAACACATCAACAAAAGTGTAATGTGACAAACGATTATTAAACAATGATTTAAAATGCACTTTCGAGTAAAACTTTTCATTTGAAATGATAAAAAAGTGCACTTGAAAATGTACTCTCTCTAAGCACACACCATTTTATTTCACGTACCATGTACTTTATTATCTGCAGGTACCAAATACTTTTAAGATTTGAAGTACACTACAGGTGCACATTCAATTCTACACTTCTTTTTGGCAAGGGAACCTACATATGCAGTTCTTATGTAATACTTTTTTTAGTGTACAAAAATGGCACTGACATGGCTCTGTTATCACACAGTCCAATTGTAATAACTTGCGTCATCACTAGTGTAACATGTGGGAATGTGTTGTGAAATCGTTTCCACATGTAACGCGTCTACAACATAAAGCATCTGAAATCCATTCACATAAATTATTAAGGTATTATTTTAAGCAAACACTAAAGTCACGTTACATAAACTGGTCTGTAACAGCCGAAACTATTTAGATTACATTAGTTACATTAGTGTCAATATAAAATTGTATCTTACCAAGTGAAGAGAGTGAAGAAATTAATGAATGATGGTCACTTCAGAGAAATATGAACACTTCACCACTCCCCCTGTAGAGTTGCAAAAAGGGCAGGGATTAATTTTCTGGTCAATGTTCATGTTAGATAATGCTGACATTTATGTAGCATCCAGGGTTTATGACTGGGAGAAATATCGGTAATAATATTAGATTACTTTTAGATATGATTGATTATAATTGTTACATACGAATGAATCTTTTATTCTATTCTTAGACTTTTACAAAGCATTTAATAACGTAAGTCAGATGCTCTTTTGGGTTGAGATCTGGTGACTGTGGGGGCCATTTTAGTACAGTGAACTCATTGTCGTGTTTAAGAAACCAATTTGAAATGATTCTAGCTTTGTGACATGGTGCATTATCCTGCTGGAAGTAGCCATCAGAGGATGGATACATGGTGGCCATAAAGGGATGGACATGGTCAGAAACAATGCTCAGGTAGGCCGTGGCATTTAAATGATGGCCGAATGGCACTAAGGGGCCTAAAGAGTGCCAAGAAAACATCCCCCACATCATTACACCACCACCAGCCTGCACAGTGGTAACAAGGCATGATGGATCCATGTTCTCATTCTGTTTACACCAATTTCTGACTCTACCATCTGAATTAGGCAGAGAGTCTTTAGGCATCAGTCAGGGATAGCAGGGATAGCGGCGACAGGCTGGTCCCTCAGGCTAGACAAGGGTCGAGGAAAAACTGTGGTTACCAGGTCTTTCGCAGCGTTAGATGAACTGGATAGAATACAAATATCAAGACGATTAGCCGAGAACAGATAGCGTTTGCCAGGCGGATGCCAACAGGACAGGACTAGCATAGAGACAAACAAGACAGTTGTTTGCTTCTTGCGTGAGAAACTCAAGTGAGAATCTGACAAAGAAAGAAGCAAGAACAGAGAAGGAGAGGAATAGGCGGGATGAGAGTCAAACAGGTAGTCGGAGGAGATGAGGAACAGCTGGAGGAGTAGAGAAAGGAAAGAGAAAGTAACCTATTAAGACCAGTAGAGAGCAACAGAGTTAAGAGAAAGAACAGGAACAAGACATGTCATGACACAAAGTCCTGTACAAGCTATACAAAACAAGATTTAAAACGAGATTTTTTCAAGATCATTCTTAGAGAGCATCATCTTAATTCTAGCAACAGTTCTTAACTGAAAGAAACTGCTTTTCACAACAGCATCAATCTGATTATCAAAACACAGTGATCTGCTTATCAAAAACTACACCAAGGTTTTTGACACTGTCACACACATTAGAAGAGAGGGGACCAATCTGACAATGTCAGAGGACAGAGTTGATGGGCAAAATACTAATATTTCAGTTTTGTCATTGTTTAACTGTAAAAAGTTTTTCCATCCAGCATTTGTCATGCAGACAGTCAAAGAAACACGGAGCAGCTATTATTTTTCAAGGAAGATACAGCTGAGTGTCATCGGCATTGAAATTATATGATAAGTTGTGTCTCTTAATGATATGACCTAGAGAGGAAGCATGTATAAAGAAAGAAGAGGACCCAAAATGGAACCCTGGGGAACATCAAATTGAGTAACACTTCCTATATTAACAGAAAACATTTTCTCCATGAGGTAAGAGGCAAAAACACTGAAATCAGCTACATGGTTGAGTCATTGCAAAAGGGTGTAAAGAACTAAAATACAGCAAGACCCAAAATCAAGAGTAAGATATAATTTGTAACAAGTTTAATATTGCAATATAATTTCATACAAAACTGCACATAAAATCAGTCATTTTACATTAAAATTAAATGTTTATCATACAGAAACTGTGTTTGAAATGTTAAGGCACTCTGTGATTAAGTATCAAGCATTTTATATAAGTAATGTCAAAGCATTTTTTATAAGTAATTAGTTATAACATTCTCATGATGTTGACTATAATTTACCCTAATCGAAGTACACTTTATTTAAGATTTCAAATAAAGTATGCTAAGTTTCTGATACACATAACATGATCACTTTATGACTAAAAAAGCCCTGATCTTGTCGAGGAGCGATGAAGGGTCTGCTATGAGTAAGTGCAGACTGGCCCTGCTGTAATACAGAGCAGACAGCAGCGCTGCAACAGACACTGAGAATAAGAGTGAATAAGAGGAGCGCTGTGACTGCGGCTCCGGTGCACAGCGTGTTTTCAGGGGCTCTGTGACTCGATCCCACTGAGTCAGGATGGCCTGCCGTGCACCTTCCCATCGGCCCGGTCCATGCAAGCGAAACTGGTACGGGGTACAGGGCCCAAAGATGATGTTCAGAGCCAGTCTTGGGTCTGTCAGGAGCAGCTTCAGGATAGATGGACGGACACCCACTTGTTTAGCCAACTCATCCATGTAGGGGATGTAGTCCACCTGGATGGTGTGTCTCTGGGCGGCCACATACCTGCATGACAGTATGATTAAGAGTCATCAAGTTAAATTTCTACATAACTGTAAAAATTGTGTAAATGCTGTGTTATATAGTCATGTGAGGTGAAGTGTGGAGAACCTTTTAGTCATTTCGTTCTCTTTTGCTTTAATGTCCTTCATCATTGCACTCATTGAAGGCAGTTTGCACCGTCCTAGTGAACATAACACAGTTTGTTACATACAAAACACTGTGTAAATGTTCTGACATGTTCAGTTATTACTTTAAAGTAAAACTGAAAGAATAATCATATCATGCAAAATATTTTTAAGTACCATGTCATCATACAGTAACTTTTAGAACTTAAAACCAGCACAAAAGGAAGAAGACAAGACCAAGACAAGAAAAAGCCAATGTCTAATTGTCAAAATTATTGTCAAATGCTCATGAAAAACTACATTACAATATTTTTTGGTGATAGAAATTTTGAATAATAGTATAAGTAGACATTTTTGTTATTCTGAACATATATTTTAAGAACAGCCCTTAGTTTTCTGTGTAGAAGATCAGCACTGTGTTTGATACCTTTAAAAACACGTGTGGCCCAGCGTGCTTGCATCTCAGATATGGGCATAATGGCTCCCAGAGGCTGAATCAGACCAATCACGGCTAAAGTTGGGTGCTCTAGTGCTGGGGGATACACATATTTGTACAGGGATACCTTGTTCTTTGAGACAGGAATTACATGTGAAGACAGAAAGGGAAATGAGAAAGTGTATCCTGTGGCAAACACCACCAGATCAATGTCATCCTCAACTGTGCCATCCTCAAAAACCGCACTTGATCCACGAAACTCTTGCACATTCGGCTTGACCGAGACGGTACCGGAGAGGATCCGGTTTGGTAAATCATCATTGACCATGGGATGTTGGCTGAAAACTCTGGGAAATAAACAAAATCCATTATATAGTACACAGGGTTAACACTGTCATGGACCAAAGTCAGCAGAGTCTTGTTTCCTTCAGTGTTCACAGTACCTGTGCGCAGGCTGCAGCCCATAGAGCTTGTGGTTGAACCGTGTATTGAGTCGTTTCTCACCAACATTGTTGATTAATCCAACAGGTAATATATGAATAAGCCAACTATGCATTCTATTATTTAACATCATGTCTGATGGAACACCATTGTCTCCAACACGATTTAGTATCCAAGATCCCTTTCGGGTACTCAGATACACCTAGAATTAAAGGAAAGTAAGTAAGGGAAACAATGTGGAATCCAGAGGCTTTAATAAGAGTATAATAATTCATATACTATAATTATTTAAACTGGTTGTGGCATATCACCTGTTTGGCCATTCTGCTCAGCTCTACAGCAATATCTCCTCCAGAGTTCCCAATGCCAATCACAACTACCCTCTTCCCTCGCCAATCTTCAGGGTTTTTGTAGTCGCGGCTGTGGAAGAATTTCCCCTTAAACGTGTCTATTCCTGTAATGCAATGTATAGCTTATCTACATAATTCCTTAAGTCTGCCATTTCATATACATTTTGTAAATATGTAAACATTCAAATGAACAAATTAGTAAAATCATTAACTTACTGAATAATTTTAAAAGCTTGTTGAATCATTCTTTGCAAAACCTTGTAAACGTACTAATTATAAACAATATTTCTGCCTGAGATTCTGCTTAATGCTACAACAGTTGTACAAGAGCTGTGAGAAGGCATAATAACTCTTGTACAACTAAAGTTCACTATGAGTATCCCAGTTTGGCTTTTATTGACTTTATGTTGTTGCACTTTGCACATAGACTGTGTTTGCTTAATCATCACATGTACTGCACCTGGAAAGTCTTTTAGAGGGAGGTGAGGGTGACAGTGGTGACCGGTGCAGACCATCACAGCATCAAACACCTGTTTCTCTCTCCGACCATCCTTGGACTCCGTCTCTACATCCCACTGACCAGAGTGAGGGAAGTCTGGCCTTGGGGTCACATGAAGGACTTTTGTCTAAGAAACACAAAACATGAATTTGTGAACCTTTAGAAACCCCCCAAAACCAAAGATATATATGAGGTACAGTATATTCCTAACTTCACAGTTCATATAAGCTTTCAGGCCAGACCTGGAAACGGATGTGCTGTTTGAGCTGGAAGTGTTCAGCGTACATTCGGAAGTAGTCCATGATGAGGGAGTTGTGCATGTAGTTTGGGAAGTGGGCAGGGATGGGGAAATCACTGTAGCACATCATCTCCTTTGAAGTGTTGATAATCAATGAGTAGTAAATACTAGCACGGTCTGGATCTGGATTTTCCTAAGATACAAAGACAAGAAGCAAACTGCATCAGTTTCTCGCAGCATCGTGTTTATTGATGGTCTGCATGCAATGAACTGTGCCTCAGGGTTCAGTGCTTGGACATCTTCTTTTCTTCATATGTACAATTTCAGTGGGCCCAATCATATAGACATATCTCACCTTAAACCTCCAAAGACCTCCAATGTCATCACTGGTCTCAAAACACACTGGCTCCAGGCCTTCATCCAGGCAGCATTTGATGCAGGTCAACCCAGAGGTTCCTCCTCCAATCACAGCAACACGTTTGGCCATGATGATCCACAACTGTCAGACTTTTGGCAGATGCAGAGAATATATAAAAATTAGATTTTTGTAATTTTTCCAAAGTATAAAACTATCCATCAGTGTTTTTTCCATCAAATCTCAAAATCTGTATAGCACTCTATGGTAGAAATAAGTTCTTAAAAATTGTCATGCAAAATTTTATTTCATAGCTAGCATTTTATGTGGACTTACTCATTATATATATATATATATATATATATAAACGCTGATTTCGGACTGGGCAACCGAAGTAACAATAGATAGCACTTCTACGTCTGCAAGATGTCTGTTAAAGATCACTTCATCTGGAAAGCATCTGCTGTTTACTAACATCTGATAGACATCTTAAAGACATATTCTAAGCGTATATTTGACATCTGACAGGAAACGTCCAACAGACGAATTGTAGATGAGCAAACACTCTAAAAAATACGTCTTCCAGACGTAAACACACACATGAAATAGTGTGCCTCTGTGATGTAGCCTACGTGTGCTATCAGGGTAACATCTATTCCCAGCAAACACTAAACGTTGGCACAACATACCCAACCTTCTAACAACTTTTTAACAACATGGTCAAAAGGTTGCTATAACTACGTTGTGTGGTGAAGGTTGTTACAGCATTGTCACAACGTTGAAATTTAACTACCGTGCGTCCAGGGCCAATGCATAAGGTTGTGCCAAGGGTGTCTGGACAACCACTGGACGACATATGGCTACTCGTCACTGCCCTGAAGCGCGGAAATCAGCCTTTTAAATTTCAACCGCCCATTGGGCTCATTGTGTTGGCACATTTTTCATTGAGGAAGGATACAAGATAATTGTGTTTAATTTACCTCAGCTTATTAAGATATGTAATTAATTATTCAAACACAACCTACTTGTCTAATGTGAAATTGATTTGTCTTGTCTAACTGAAGGGACAGAATAACGTTAGCTGAAAATTCATTGAGTTTGCGATCTTGTGTAAATTACAGTAACTTATGTTACCAGTTATGCTACGTTAGCTATATTTCTTTTAGCGTTTAGATATCATTTAATCCTACCATTAGGAAAAGTATTGAACATCTTCTGGTCAGGTAAGACAAATATTTTAACTTTATGACAAAAGTTATAGGCCAAAGTGAAGCCAAAATGACTTTAATGATGAGTAATTTACATTTCAGCACTCCTTGAACAGAGAGCGACTTAAGCGCGTAACTTATAGTTGCACGTTAATGGTTTTCCTGTTTTGAAAATGCTCAGAGAAAAAAAAAAAATTAACTGCACGCACACCTGTTTATTTTTTCCTTTGATTTGTCTGCTATTTATACGGTTACGTCAGTTCATGCAATAGGCTCCCTGTATTGTCCTGTCCTGTGAAGCTCCAATTTGCTTTGTTCTCTGCCAAGTTTACCTGTGCCTGTTCATTAAACGTTGTTCTGATCAGCCTTTGCTTTTTATGTTTTTTTTTTATTATAACTTAAAATAAATTTCTTTATTCGTATATTTATTTATTTTTTCACAAATGTATGACTTTTGGAAGTGCAATTTGATTATATGCAGTTTTAATACAGTAATTTGAATTAACTAACCCCTGTCATTTTTACTCTTCAAAGTGTACACTTGCAGGTGTTGATTATAATAAATTTAACGTTACTGTTAGGCCCATAATAATATGGACAAACATTCTTTAAAATGTACTTATCTAACAATTGTCAGAACGTCTCTTAGTTGCTGAATGTCGCACAACGTGATACAGACGTGTTGTTCCCTCTTACGAGTCTACATTGTTACACTTTATAGACGTAAATGTGTTTGCTGGGTTGAACTTGTCACTCACTTTTGACACTTTTTAAGAATGACATTATTCACATCCAGCGCCCTTCGCTTTTATAAACATTGGTAATCTGTTTCAAACCACACAACCTATCTTTTAGGCTATACAGTGTGTAACCGTCATTTGTGAAATCGACTAGCTAAATCTCTAACAACACGAACATACTGTAGTCTATGGACAAGTAAATCGAGTCAGATTCAGACAAACAGCTCGTTAAGTAAACACGCCTGCCCCGTAAAAACAACAATGTAGTAATATTATTAGTGTCAAAAGATTGTGGGAAAACCATCTCACCGAGCGTGAAGCAGTTGAAGCAGTGACCACAGAAGTTTGTTCACTCGGATCACTCCACACAAACGCTTCTCACCACACCCCTAAGCTACTCTAGATGTAAGAGGCGGGGATTCATGGCCATTAATCTGGTCAGTAACGTTGAATTAGTTAAATAAGGTTAACAAATATTAAATGACGAGGCCTACATTGTAAACTTCTACAATGTAGGCTACTGTTTTTTTTGTGTGTGTGTGTGTGTGTATAGACCTGCATAGATGCATGAACATACTCCATGCTTGTATGGAAATTAGGCTATATTTGGGTAGGCCTATGTCCCAAGGAATAGATTTTATTCCATGCTCCTTCCTATCTCTCTGACTTACTTTCTCCTTATTCCCCCTCAAACTCTCTGGTCTTCTGGCTGTGAACTCGAAATTTCGTCTTTTATTTATGGGTGGTCTTTTTCCGTTATAGCCTTATAAGCTATGGAACTCTCTTCCCCTGGCTCTTAGAACAATAACCATGCTTCATGAATTTAAGTCTAAACTCAAAACTCATTTGTTATAACAGTATTATCAGTCATGACATGTTTTTTTTAACTGACTCTGTATTACAGTCATAATGTTAATTTAGGTACCATTATTATTTTGCATCTTTATTCAACTGCCCACCTTCCATGCTGTCTATAAATAGTGTTGTTTTTTGTTTCTGGTTTTGTTTTGTCTGTATTCCAAATGTCATATGCACCTGCAATCGCTCATTTTCTTGGACTGGGCAAATGTCTATTGTCCATGAAAATATGTGTTAACCGATTATTTGTTCTTTACGTTTTCCTCTGTTATTGTGAAGTCTCATTGAGCTTGGAAAAGGCACTATATATATATATATATATATATATATATGCATGCACATTGAAAATGCACATTATCTGTGGCAGGAGGCTCACTTGGGAATGCGTTGAAAACACATACTTGTATTCCAAAATCAGATGGACCATTCAGGGGTGGAGTCTTCAATCTTTTCTGGACGTCCGTGAAAGTCTCCGTGCGAGGCTGGATACAAACTGGAGCTGACAAACGTCATTTTCCTCGGGACTCGTGTCTTCGAGATAACAGCAGGAAAGCAAATGGGAAATAATTAGCATAGCTGATGATCATAATGATTTCCATTACACGAGAGTAGATGTTAAAAATTAGAAAACAGTGACTCTGGTGTCCCAGAGTCACCCCCCTACGTCTCCCACTCAACTCAGCACAGCTTACTGACCTCTACATCCCTCCTGCTGCTGAGACCTAACCACGAACTTACAATCTCTCCACAACCCAACCATGCGCCAACCTGTTTGACTAAGGCTGTCGAGCCCCACTGGTGCGTTAATGCAGTTTCAGTGGCAACGGTTCCATATGGGATACCACCTACCGCAATACACAATATCTGCCCAACCACCCGTCATTCACGCAATATACACAGGAACGTAATGACTGTAAATACTATGCAACCTATACAAATAAACCAACAGACTCTTCTAGTTTTATAATATTAAAACTAATACCTAATATAACTAATATAACTAATATTAAAACTAACCCTCGTGGAAATCTCTTGAACTCTCCTCTTAGGCCCAGAAGGAAGAAAAGGAATAGTCGAATAAAGTCCTTATTTTTGTTTTATTTCTGAACAAAAAGTATTCTCGTCAATTGATAAACATAGTTGAGCCACAGTAGTCACATGGAATAAAAACTACAATACCACATTTTTTGGTAATAGAAATCTTGAATAGTAGTATGTTAGGGATCTATAAAGAGGACTTAGTTACACTGATTTATTAACAAACAACAGACAAAACACAATGAGGCAAGGGAACAAAGAGGTGAACACAGTCCAAACAATGGACAGGGAAAGAGACACAGTAAACCCAAAAAGAGACAAGACAGATGGTGGAAACGTATGCTTTGCGATAACTAAAAAGGTACTACAACAAAAGAAAAGAGCTAATAGACTAGAGGATAACTAAAGTTTAAATAAAAGTTAAAGGTAGACTACTAAGGCTAATAAGAAAAAAAAACAAATGCTAAAGTTACTGAGAACTAAGCAGAGAAAACTAAAGGGGAATGTGGTGATTAGGCGTGTTTCCTATGTCTGTCCTCTAACCAAACTTACAGTTAACAGATACCGAAGAATGTAAAAAGAAGAAACACAAAGAAATGGTACAGAGAGCTAAGCTCATGGTTGTGGAATGTTCTGAAGAATAAAGAGGCTACACGCCAGTTCCAATATTTATTTGTTCAGAGTGTTTTAATCATTAAAACACCACAGGGAAAATACACTAAACAATAACAAGGATACTCTGGAACAGCAGGAAGAACAAAACATGACTAGAATAGACATTAGATCTAAGTGTAACTTCAACAAGAAATAACTACAGACTACTAGCAACAACTATAACACAGCACAACAAACTGGCAAGACAAGAGGGAAAGAGAACACATAAGGGAGCTGAGAACACAAGAGACAGGTGAGCACACTCAGACAAACTGTGACTCAAAGACTAAACAACTGAGCGTTGTAATTGGAAACAAGGAGGAAGGACAAGAGGAGACCATGGCCAAAACAAACAAAGACAGATCCACAGAAACACAGATCCACAGAAACACAGGCCATGTGTTTAAGCACAACACAAGCAAAGAGACATTGAACAACAACATGACAAACAGAACCGCCAGAGGAGAGCCCTCACAATTTATTAATATATTAACAGTATTAATAAAGTAGACCTTTCGTTGTTCTGAATTGTATGAATATGAAAATATATATAAAGAACAACCCTTAGTTTTCTGTGTAGAATATCAGTATTACGTTTCATAGGCTACCTTTAAAAACACGTGTGGCCCAGCGCGCTTGCATCTCAGAGATAATGGCTCAGAGAGGCTGGATCAGACCAATCACGGCTAAAGTTGGGTGCTCTAGTGCTGGGGGATACACATATTTGTACAGGGATACCTTGTTCTTTGAGACAGGAATTACATGTGAAGACAGGAAGGGGAATGAGAAAGTGTATCCTGTGGCAAACACCACCAGATCAATGTCATCCTCAACTGTGCCATCGGAGAGGATCCGGTTTGGTAAATCATCGTTGACCATGGGATGTTGGCTGAAAACTCTGGGAAATAACCAAAGACATTAGTACACTATGAAAAGGGTTAAAGGTTTAACCATGGACCAAAGTCAGCAGAGTCTTGTTTCCTTCAGTGTTCACAGTACCTGTGCGCAGGCTGCAGCCCATAGAGCTTGTGGTTAAACCATTTATTGAGTTGTTTCTCTCTCAAATTGTTGATTAATCCAACAGGTAATATATGATTAAGCCAACTATGTATTCTGTTAAATATCATATCTAATGGAACACCATTGTCTCCAACGTGATTTAGTATCCAAGATCCCTTTTGGGTGCTCAGATAAACCTAGAATTAAGGGAAAGTAAGTAAGGGAAACAATGTGGAATGCAGAGGCTTTATAATTCATAGACTATTATTATTTATAGCGTATATGTGGCATATCACCTGTTTGGCCATTCTGCTCATCTCTACAGCAATATCTCCTCCAGAGTTCCCAATGCCAATCACAACTACCCTCTTCCCTCGCCAATCTTCAGGGTTTTTGTAGTGCGGCTGTGGAAGAATTTCCCCTTAAATGTGTCTATTCCTAAGAGTGATTTAAACAATTAGCCACTACAGTATAGAAAGAAAATAGCTGTTTAAGTTACATGTAGTGCATTATATCATATCTATATAAATACTTAAAGTCCCCCTGTATAGTCCAGGCAAAGTAGCCCATTTTGGAGCCAAAAATAGAACTAATTGTAAAAGATTTTTTTTCAGCATAGATCATTTCTATGAGGTGTCCAGAACAACATACTAAAAGTCCTAAGAAATCCTAGTTGAGGAAATATGTTTAATTCGCATCAATCCGAAATGTGTGCCAGTAAGCTAGGCCAGACAGCAATACACCCCAATGGGGCTATTTTTTTCCTTTACTCCTATCAAAATAAAACTTTATACAATGAAAGTATCCATGAAAAGTAACAAATTTTGTATTACAATTTTATTTGAAAATGAATTTTATTATGCAAATGAGCTATACACTAATCGAATATGCCCAAAATACACCCAAATAGGCTTAATTTTTTCCTTTACTCCTACCACAATAAAACTTTACACAATGAAAGTCTACAAGAAAAGTAAAACATTTTGTATTAGAAGTTTCTTTGAAAATGAATTTGAATATGCAAATGAGCAATTTACTAATCGAATATGCCCAAAATACACCCTAATTTGACCATGGGTTTTCTATGGGATACAAGAAACAAATAGGTTTCTCAGGGAGACTGGGATCTTCTTTTGCATTGCCATAATGGCAAAAATCACTGCAGCCCCTCCTGACAGGCCCAGCCAAAACAACAAACTGAAGGATGAAGGTTCTGGAATGGGTCGTGTCTTCATGGGTCTGGCCACACGTTCCCATTGGGTAAGAATAGCCTGACGAGCACCTCTCCAATACCCTGGTCCACTTAGCCGAAACTGGTAGGGAGTACAGGGGCCGAAAAAAATCCTCAGTCCCAAAGCAGGGTCTCTCAGGAGCAGCCAGGCAATGTTGGGACAGACACCCACTTCCTTTGCTATTGTGTCTAGGTAAGGGATATAGTCCACTTGAAGGGCAGCCACCTTACGACAGGGGTAACTGTAGAAAGATAGAAGAGATTTCAAAGCGAACATAGATTATTTGTCAAACCAATACCAATTTGGAATTACCATCGAGGTAAATAAATAATTACCTTTTTAAATTTGCTTTTATGTCCTTCTCTATTATTTTATCCATTTTGTCGGCTGGAGGAAGATGGTTTAGTCCTTGAAGAACAGGAGAACATTTAATACATGAAAAATGTTTTCAAAATGTAATCATATGTAAATTATTAAGTCATATAAGAAGGTCACGCTAAACTGTCTTGGAAACTTGTGCTTTTATAATGATAATAAAAAAAAAATTATACACAGATTTATTGTTAACACTTTACAATAAGGTTACCATCAGTTAATTAATAATAACCCATTAGTTAATTAACTAACATTGACTAACCATTAGCAACACATTTTTTACTGTATACTTATTATTCTATATCTAATATATTTCATAATTTTATAGAATACACTTAAAAAACAATAACAAATAACTAAGCAAGCAGTGCATCATAGCATATTAATCCAGAGCAACAGACATAACAGCACAGCATAATGAGATATAAGGTGAGATCATTCACTAAGGCAAGGAGTTCATCAGTCTTACAGCCTCTGGAAAGAAGCTGCATCTGAACCTTGTTTTTGGTTTAATGCTTCTTAGCCTCCTGTCTGATGTGAGGAGGGGGTTGAACTGTTCGTTTGCTGGGTGGATGGAGGCTGCTGTGAGTTATTTTTGAGTAGATTTGACCACCCTCTGCAATGCCTTCTTGTCAGCAGCAGAACAGTTCCCTTAGTAGGCAATGATAGAAAAGTTGAGTGTACGCTCCACCACACCTCATTGAAATGCTACTAGAGCTGGAGTGAGGAGACCAGCCTGCTTCAAAATCCTTAGAAAATAGGGGTTGGTGAGCCATTTTGATAATGCTGGCCGTGTCAACCCTCATAAAATCATTGGAAATGTGTACCCCAAGATGCTTAAATACAGAGACCATTTCCACAGCTGCTCCTCCAAAGAAGAGTTGACAGGGGGAATTCCTCTCAAAGACCATCTCCTACACATTAATGCAGAGGTTGTTTGCTCTACACCAGTCCACAAGTTCTTTCACCTTCTGTCTGTATAAGGACTCATCGTTGTGGAATATCAATCCCATCACAACTGTGTCAACAAACTTCACAATATGATTGCCCGAGCAGTGTGTACAGCAGGGGACTCAGGACATATCCCTGGGGGGAGCCGGTGTTAAGGATGATAGGTGAAGATGAAATGCCATGGACTTTAACAGTCTGTGGCCTGTTCGTTAACAAAGTAACAAAGTGATGGTTTCAATCCAAGCAGCAGTAGTTTATTGACTTGAGTCTGTGGGACAATTGCCGAATGGGTGACCGATGAAATTGCATCCGATGCAAACCAGTTCTTCCTGTAAGCATACTGATGGGGGTCCACATTAATTTCAAAGGTATCCTTTATGTGGGCCATAACCAGCCGTTCAAAGCATTCATGATTATTGGAGTGAGCCACTGGGCGGTAGTCACTCATAAACGCCATGGCTGAGCTTTTAGGCGCGGGGATGATAGTAGATGTCTTGAGGCACACTGGCACCACAGCCTGGGAAAGTGAGGTGAAACATCTTTCCTGCTGTTGTCGGTGATGCTCTCGATGGCCTTTCACATGCTCCGGGGGGTCATTGGTGGAAAATGACCCTGTATTTTCCAAGCATAATTAGCCTTTGCCCTCTTGAACCCAACTTCTATTTCCTTCCTTGTCACTCTGCAAGTGCGTCTACTTTCCTAAAGGCGAAGTCCTGTGCCTTTAGAAAACACATCACCTCTCCATTCACCATTGGTTTCTTATTTGGACAGATGTTAACTTCCTGGTGGTAGTGTTGAGATATGTTGAGAGAAATCAGGAGTAAGAATGGCAGCACAGCTGAAAGTTTTTTTTGTTTTTTTTTTTAGCTGCGGAAGTACAGGAACCTGCATTTCCTTCAGTTTGAGCTTTATTCATTTCACTTTTGGTGTGAACGGGCTTTTACATTTGCCAAAAATATGACTTTTTGTTTTTTGTTATTACAGTTTTCAATTGCTAACAAGCATCATACAGTATATATATATTTTTTTTAATTAAAAAGCAAGCAAGCAAGCCAAGCACAGGTGAGATAAAGTAACGCAAATGTTATGTATCGCATTACTTAGTAGCTAAGTAACACAATTAGTTACTTTTTTAAAGGGAGTAAAGCAATACTTTATATATTTTTACTTCGTATACTTATATTTTTAAAGTATTATACTTTACTTCAAATATTTTAAATGAATTTCAGTCAGGATTTAGATCAGGTCACAGTGCTATAACAGCAGCCATGCTGGTCACGAATGATATTATTGAATGTTTGGATAGTAAACAGCATTGTGCAGCCTTCTTTTTAGATCTCTCCAAAGCATTTGATTCCGTAGACCATAAACTTTTGTTGCAGAGACTTAGATGTGTGGGTTTTAGTTAAACAGCTCTAAACGGGTTTAATAATTACTTATCAGAAAGAACTCAGTGTGTCTCAGTTGAAAACTTTACTTCAGCAAAATAAATCATTAAAAAAGGTGTCCCACAGGGCTCTGTTTTAGCACCAATTTTATTTTCTACTTATATCAATAAGATAGGTTGTGGGATAACACCAGCTAGAATTCATCTATATGCTGATGATACACTTATTTATACAGTGGCAACATCTATTAATCAAGCCATAGAGCTTTTGCAAGTTTCTTTTCGGTCTTTGCAATTGTCATTGTTAAGTTTGAAATTGGATTTAAACACACACACACACACACACACACACACACACAAAAAAAAACGAACTACATGCTTTTCACTTGTGGTCCCATCAACACAGATCACCCGATCTTAAGTTTAGAGGGGGATTGCATAGAAAGAGTAAAATGTTACAAATACTTAGGCATATGGTTAGATGAAAAACTATGTTTCAATGCACATATTAAGCTTAGACCAAAACTGGGTTTCCTCTTTCGTTTAAAGAAATGTTTTCCCTTTGAAGCAAGAAAGAGAATTATTCAATTCTGTTTCCTCTCAGTATTGGATTACGGTGATGTGATTTATATACATGCAGGTTCATCATTGTTAAAAAAACTAGACTGTTTATACCATGCTGCCTTACACTTTGTGACCGATGCCCCTTCACGCACTCATCATTGTACGAATTGGTGGGTTGGACTTCTTTGTTTCAGAGAAGAAAAATACACATGTTGATATGTATTGCTAAGGCATTGCTAGGCAAATTACCAATTTATATATGTTGTTTATTATCTTACTGCATTTATAATTATAGCACTAGATCTAGAGAAAAACTGCTTTTAAAAGGTTCCTAGAGTACATTCAGAGCTTGGTAAAACTGCTTTTTCTTTCTATGCCCCTTGGTTATGGAATGAGCTGCAGGAGCTCCTTTAAACGTTTTTAAAAATCTTTTATTGACCAATTTAAAGGAATCGTGTGCATGTTTTGTAAAGTAACTTTTGATTATTTTATGAGAGCTGGGTAAAATTGTATGCAAGTTTTATGTCTGTATTGTTATACATGTGAAACTTTTTTGTGCTGCCATTTTGGCCAGGACTCCCTGGAAGAAGAGATTTTTATCTCAATGGGACTATCCTGGTAAAATAAAGGATACATAAAAAATAAATAAATAATAAAATAAATACTGTATGCATTACTTTTAAAAAGTAACTTTCCCCAACACTGTATATAAATATGATTAATGATTATGAATTTAATATATGCTTCTCCTATAACTGTCAAAAAAAGTTTCATGAGTTGTCATGTTTGCTCAGTACCTGCGATGACCCTGGTGGCCCAGCGAGCCTGCAGTTCTGCAGCTGGCATGATCGGCCCTTTGGTCTGCAGCAGGCCCAGGATGGCCAGTGTTGGACGCTCTAGAGATGGAGGAAATATTCTTTTGTAGAGTTTCAGATCTCCATCAGAGTTTAAGAAGGCGGGGAGGAAGGGAAATTTAAAATCATAGCCTGTGCATAAGATCACTGCATCAATCTTCTCTTCAACAGTCCCATCATCAAAGACAAGCGTTGAGCCTTGGAACTTCTGAACATTTGGTTTCATCACCAGTTTTCCCATCAGAATGCGACCT